CCCCGCGCTTCGTACCTCCCTCCTGCTTTATTGAACCTGAAGGTAATGCAATTCATATTTATTTATTTAATTATTTAATACATGGAAAACTTACAGCCTAAACTAATCTAAGTAATTATAAATTAGATGACTGAGAGCCAATAAAAAGTTTTCACTTATAGTAATATTATAGCAGAAACAAACAACAGGCACTGCTAAATAGTTAAAATGATGAAAAAAAAAATAATATTGTAAATGCAAAAGTTTAAATGGATGAATGTCTGTTAGAGTTTATAGACTAAACTGTTGAACCGTTTTTGATTAAATTTGGCACAAATGTAGAGGTTAGTCGGGAAGAACACATAGGCTACTTTTTATCTCGATAATAGTTATAGTTCCCGAGGGATACACTAATGTTTTTTCATGTTTACTCAATAATTGTGTAATGCTTCTATGTATTCTACTGAAATTTGACACATATATAAAACAAAATTTGGTGAACACTCGGAATACAGTTAATCATTGAATAATGTCAAGTTCCTTGTTTTTCTTAATACTATGCAGACGAAGTCGCAGACAACAACTAGTTTAAAATAAAAGTAAAATGAAGAACCATTTTTAGAAAAGTTACCTTAAAATTAAATCAATATTACAGTCGAATTATACCTAGTTATATAAAACATTAACGAAATAAATAAATAACCCAATGGAATAGTCAAGTTTTTACATAAATTATAATACATATACTTATTTTAAATATTTTGGAAATATGTAAATACATACTAATTGAAAAAGCAATGTCTTACCCGATGACAGTGTAACTGTTGTGAAGCCATCTTTGCTCTCTCCGGACGGAGTCACACGTTCAAACTCTCCCGCGCGACGACCGCCTATTGCATTGCATTTTAAAACTTTATTTATATATAAAAATATATCTCAATATAAGGGGTACAAAAGTAAATATGATTCAGTCCAAATTATTTAAACTAATCATACCTAAATTATAGTAAATTAGCTGAAAAAATTAAATCAAATGTCAATGAAGGCCTTTGCCAATGGCTAAAAACTACCCTTGTAGTTTTTGTCTCTTGCTAGCATAGCAATTTTTCCAATTTATTCACCCCGCAATTTTAATAGCGTGAAAATATATAGCCTATAGCAATTCGTAAGAGTAGGGCTTTTTATTAAGAAGATAATTATTCAATAATATGCTGGGATTGTTGAGATCTTACATAACAAAGTATGTACGTTTTATTAGTATAGTTACATAAAGAAACATACTGTTTTTACTGTCGAGTATGGCCTGCAGGTGGTTGGGCGGCACTTGCTTGTAGTCGGGGTCCCAGATGGGCGAGTTGGCGCTGAAGATCTCCTCCTCCAGCAGCGCCAGGAAACGCGGGAAATGTGTCAGAACTAATACCTGGTGATGTGTTAAGAAAATATTATTTTTAGCGTAAGATGGCGTTGATAAGATGCTAGAGGCCCAATTTTTTCTTTTTATTATCTCTTTTCAATGAGGGAACAGGAAGAACTCGATTAATGAAAGGGAATGGATACAAAAAGCACCGTTTTTTATATTTTTGCATATTAATCGTAGACAACACAACTAAAACTTTTCAGCTTATATATTTTTATAGTCAGAGACAAATTCGCCATTTTGGCGAAATGTCTCAATGTTTTCGCTAATTTGGCGAAACTTACTAACCGCACTTCAATATCAATCTATAACAACATAGTCGTTTAAAAAATAAAACCTTCTAACTTACCCTTTTCTCCGGTGGCATTCTATCTCTTTCGGAATGACATTTGTCCATCAACTGGCGACAGACTGACTTGAAGACGGCTCGCAGCAACGTGCGCCCGAACACTAGCGACGTCTCGAAGTGGGGGAGGGAGTCGCAGAACGCGGGCACGTGGCAGAACACTAACCATCTACAAATAATAATAAAAATGTAAAAAAAAAAATAAACGGAAGCCTTATTTTAGTCACTTTAATCACTTTTATAAGGGAATGTTTCGCAGAGATACAATAGGAGGGAAAACATTCTGTATTTGTATGTTCTCTTTGTTGTATGAGAGTTTGCAACACATCTAAAAATGCAGATTACACTGCCAGCCAGGCAAGGGCAATAACTTCGCTATTTTGGCGAATTTAAATAAGTCTGTCAACCCACCTGGTATAGTTTATTTGATACGCCGATATATCTTCTTGATTTGAAACTTGCTGAAAATTAAATGTATTGAATTAATTTATATTCCTGTTTAATATACAAAAATTGACAAAAAAAAATGATCATACAGATTTTGAAGTTATTTCCACTCAAACTGACAGTTACATCTTATTGAAAAAAAAATGTATTTTTGGATTATAATTGAATTTCTAACATGGGGCCACTTGTAGAAAATCACTTACCAATTTCCTAACACTTGGTGTCTCAAAGTTCCAATGATTGAAGCAATGTAGGAACATTTTGGCTAAATCATACATTGTCTGCCATTCCCGTTGTGCTAGCGAGTTGAATTTGTACAGCACAAAGTTAGTTATAGCTTTAGCTATGGAAGGCCGTTCAAACGGAGGCTGTCCTAATGGACCCTCTATACGAGGGTGTGTTCTTGTTAATATACACTTTCGGAGCAACTGAAAAAAAAAAATAACATTGAAACTGATTTTATGACTTTAAGTTCTTGATTATTTATGGTCATTTTGTATACCTAATGGTTGTATAGATCTGGATTAAATCATACTAATATTATAAATGCGAAAGTTTAGATGGACGGATGTTTGTTTGAGTTTTTAGCCTACATGGCTGAATAGATCCATATTAAATTTGGCACAGATGTAAAGCACAGCCTGGAAGAACATGTGGGCTACTTACTTTTGTTTTTTTTATTCCATTCGAACAGAGTCGGGGGAATAAGTTTGTCTTATTATAAATGCAAAAGTTTAATGGTCAAAAACAACTAAATGGTTTTCAATAAAATTTGTCCCAGATGTAGAATATAGTCTGGTAGAACACATAGGCTAGTTACTGGGCTTTTTTTTAATTACAGGTGAACGAATTCGCGAGTTAAGGAATATTGTCAACATTTCATACAGGAATAGTATAATTATTGGCTAGATCTACTTTTATTATTGTTTTACTAAGTTCTGCCTTTATAGACAAATTTATGTGATTACAAACCTACTTAGTTTATATACTAACCTTAAATAAAAAGTAATAAACCCTCTTTGTGTCATGATCATCCTCTCTATGCATAGACATGAATATGTTCTCTACATCAACTACTGCTCCTAATAAGCGATTCACCTCGGACACCGCTATGCCTTGTAAATGTGTCACATGTTTTTCTGTAAACAAAACACAGAATCAGACCAGGAATATAAAAAAACATTGCTATATTGCTGAAAAATAGGGAAATAACTTCTTTACACACAAGGTGTTGTAAAGATAATCAAATCTCCCCAGGCAGGATTCTTATTTTCTCAGTTAGCTACAAGCAAGTTGTCATAAGTTTTACAATGTCATGTATTTATTCCAATTGATTTTAAATGCGAAAGTTTGGATAGATGGATGTTTCTCACTATGTATCTCTAACTGTACTGATAGATCTTGACAAAATTTGGATTAATTGTAGAACATAGTCTTAAAAACACTTGGCAACTTTGTGATTTTTGAGCGAGCAAAAGTTACTACTTCATAGTTTAAAAATGTGACATTTATTGGAAAATGATTCAAATTCAACCAAATTTATTTTCCTTCATACATATTTATAGATAATATGACTAGAATAAAAATAAGATTTGGTAAATGTTTTGAACAAACCTAAAATATGGTTACAATTGCGACATGGATCACTAAAATTGGCCAATGGCTGGTCAGTTCTGGGCATAGCTTTTGTAGGCTGCTGAGACACTGGAGCCTTCCATCCATTGCAGGAACATTCTGGAGTCTAGAAGAAATAAAGAATGCAATAATGAGGATACAAACAATATTAATAGTTTAAATAGTGCAGAAAATTTATTTGGTCTTTTGGGAACATTTAATAGCAATAACAGTGTTATTGTAACGGAGCCAGATAAGTTTCTGTAAATAAATGCATGAAGTATATGAAAACTTACTTGACAGGCGGAGTATATGGCCAGTTTGAGAAGCTTCTTGTTATGTGGCCAGTTGTACACTTGCTGCTTTCTCTGCTGGATTCTTTGGAGGTTGGACTGTCTCGAGGCTCCTTCGCTGCCTGAAGGGGTCGCTGCATTGCTGGACGTCGCATCATCCGGAGTTGCATTTGATGTTGCTTTGTATACAAAAATAAATTATGTCTTTCCATATAATGGGTCATAGATAAATATTGTTACTGTAAATCAGGTTGCTGAGTTGTTAATTCACTTTGATTCATGCATAGTTTATATTTAAAAAATGGAGATAAGTTTTTTATAAATAAATCACGTTGTAATTTTATTGCACAGTTATACTCAGATTTTAATTCAATGGTGTAGTTGTTAATATTTCTAAACTTTCTATCAGATACTTTGATTTAAAAATGTTTCAAAGCACAAGGTTTAAAATATTGAGCGGGAAGTTTCATATTTATTTACCTTCTTGTGCGTGTGCTTGTGAGGAATCCGCCTCAGTGTTTGTCATTCCTATGTCACCTAGATCGTTTGTCATTTGAGACGTCATATTGCTTATACGACGCTATCGAAGACCGTTTATCCCCATTCAAACTACGTGAATAATTCTTTTCTTGTCTAGTTTACTGCATTAATTATGCGCTAATCTAAAAAAATACATTTAACAAAATTGTATTTCCCTGTTGCAAGGATTGCTGTCAAAAACAAATGTCAAAGTTGAAACAAAATGGCGGTGGATGAAATTATAGTGTTACCAGCTTACCGGGATTGCTACTGCCATTACCTAAAATTACTGAAAAATATTAATATAAAAAAATAGTGAAATAGTGTGCATTTGATATTTTTAATCGGTATTTTTTTTACTTGGCTTAGACCTAAAGCGCGCATTTAATAAATACTAGGTTATGTTGGCGAGTATACCCCGTATCAAATTAAAGCCTAAATACGTATACATACATAAACCTAACAATGAACGTGGCGTATTATTATTTCGTGAATATAATTTAGGCCTTTACTTGGTGCAAGTTGAACTTTATGCAATAAACTATTAATAATTTAATTCCGCAGTATATGATAATGAGGTATACACACACAAGCAAGTATTTGTATCTTGCGAAGTTATAAAGTTAACTATAAAAAAAATGTGCAAGACATCTACGCAGTCTTCAAAGAATTCTGTCTTGTATAGTACAGATAACATTTTCATTGTTATTTCCAAATAAATTGGATGAGATTTTTTATCACAATATCATTTGCAATTTCCTTCTCGAAATGAATTTCTGTGAAGTAAAGATTGATTCATCTAGTTCATGCGCCTTTACAAAATACAAAGACGTTTTTCTTAGAGTGTTACTTAGGTTAATTTTTAGAACCACACCATAATATGACAAAATATTAACTTATATTGAATATGTCTTAATTCGAATAGTCTAAATATTTAAAAATTGCAGTAGTTTTCTATTGAACTTATTTACTTATTTATTTATACTGAGAAACTTTTTACCAAATGCTTAATGTATGTACTTATGAAGTAAATAACCTTTTTAAAATGTAAGTATAGAGTTAATTAACAAATAAAGTTTTAATAAATTAATTATCAGTGATGTCTAACCAGATACCAGACAGACCACTTTAAAACAAATTTAATTACTACGATAATGGAGAAATAAGTTTGAGGCTCGAGGCGGTGTCAAAGAGGATCCAAGAGTTAATCAACTTAGGAATGTCATCATTATAAGTATAAGAAGACAACTTGTGTAGTTAATATCTATCTGTCTGCCTGTCTGTCTCTCTATCAAAATAAAAAAAAAATGTTTGTTTCACGTTATAAAATCACATTACTTTGTACAATTTTGCTGGTGTGTTCTGAACACGACAGAGCACATTTTTATCCTTAAGAAATAAGTGAAAAAAAAAAATAGTTTTTATTTTTCAGTCTTAAATTAAAGTTTTTGCTTTTTATTTAGGTAAAAAGCATGTCGATTCCTCCTAGTCTATCTATAAAATTATTGTATAATTTCTTAATTGAGTTTTATCATTACAAGACCTTTAAAAGTTATAATTACTTTTGATGACTAAGTTTACAAAAAGGTACAAAGCTTTTGAAATACTGCCTCAAAAGATAACTCCAACGATGGATTACGATCAGACATACTTTTGATTTAAAAAAAAAATATGTGTGTGTGTCGTGCTCGCAAGTAAATATAGATAAAAAAAGACAGCAAATAAATACACAAATCATACTAATGTGTTATTTGAATACATTTGATTTTTTTACGGGTTTATTCATTTTTTAATTAACGAACCCCATTCACGTCAGAGCGACTGCCCAATCGTGCATACTAGCAGTTTAATTAAAGCTTTTTTTACGGCCATGGCTTTTCGATTTTACGCTTTAATTTCCCTTCGATTTCGAAAATCGGCTTGTAAATTAAGAGTTTATTAAATTTTAAGGGTATTTTTTATTATGCAGTCGCTGCCCTGGTATTGGAAAGCGTGTTCAGTCGCGCTAGTGTAAAAGCGGCACATCTTTGACTAAACTATCGCACAACTGTTATGCGATTGTCGATTGTTTTACAGTCAATTTAACTGTTTAGTTGTACAATTAAAAATCGAGTAGTATGCGCACCTTCATATAAGCTCATAGGAAACCAAGCGGGACATCAACTGTGCGATAGTCTAGTCAAAGGTGTGCGGGCGCTCTTAAAGAGATTTTATCATTTAATAAAACTATAAAGTTGTATAGAGAACGTATTTACGTTTCCTATTTTAGGACAGTCTAGAACTCCTCGGTGGGGACGTAAAGGAGCTGACGACTACTTAATAAGTTCTAAGAAAAAAAAACTTCGTTAACAAGCTTAATATCTTTTGTCTGAGCTTTTTATATAAATTTACATTCATCGTAATTAGATTGTAAGAAATTCTTATTAAAAATCTCTCAAATTGTTTAACTTAATTAAGTTAAAATGTCAAGTCGCAATTATCGTATTTTAAAAAAAAATAATAATAATAATACACATTTAATCAGTTCCAAAACACACTGCAACACAATACAACATAATGCACTTGAACAAACAAAAAGTACATAAACAAGAAAAACGAAACCAACCATTAACAATCAAAACTAATGACAAGATAATTGAAGAGAAAAGAAAAAAAAAAACAAAACATATAAACATTTTGACAATGCGCTGCAATGCAGAACTGATAGGGCCCTTGCTCAGCTATATGTTAAAGTATCTAATATAAATAACCAAAGATGTAATACCACTAAATATTTAACACAAAAGTTACCATAAACTATCGCACAACTGTTTAGTTTCGCTTGGATTCTTATGAGCTTATATGGAGGTGCGCACACTACTAGATTTCTAGTTTGGCAACTAAACAGTTGAATTCGCTACGAAACAATCGACAATCGCACAAAAGTTGTGAAATAAATTTGTCAAAGGTGTGCGCGCGCTATTAGGATAATTTTGCCATTGCTAGATTTTTTATTATTTTTTTAGTTCCACGTTGACAATGTCGCATCTCTTTAATACTTCGTATTTGTATGGAACACTATATCTAGAAAAAATAGGTATAGTTGGTAATATTACGAATAAAAATTATTTAGCCGTCACCAGTTACTAGTCTATAAATTGTATGGAAATGTGTAACAAAGTTTATCACGTTATAGTGTAGAAAGGCAATTTGGTCTCAGTATGCGCGGGAAACCGTCTCGTGTGGACATGCTTTTTGCGATCACGGATCCTTTAAAAATTACGATTTGAAAAAAGAACGTTCCCTTAAATAAATTTTATAAGTAAATTGATGTTTTAAAAATGGAATTGGAAATATTTTTACGCGAAAATGAGACTTACGATGACTTTTATAGTCGTTGTAACAATTTGACCCATTTTGATTGTAGTGAAGATGAAATGTTATGGTGGATGATGGGATCACGGAGGTTACCATTGAGTGAAATCGTACCCATAAGTATTATATTAGTTGTAATATTCCTTACGGGAGTGATAGGAAATGTTTGCGTGTGTGTTGTGATAGTCAGGAACCCAGGACTACATACCGCGACCAATTATTACTTATTCAGTCTTGCTGTTAGTGATTTATTGTTATTATTATTCGGTAAGTAAATTGTTATAAAAATATATAATTTTATGAAATTATTAAAGTAATAGTTAACTTTTTTCTTGATTTATTTCCAAAGTAACTAGCACATTACTGTACATTGAAAATAAAAAAAAAACTGTTTTGTTTCACCTTAAGGTATTATTAAGCAGATTAAGTTATTTAACTTAAATAAACTATTTTGAGAATTATGGTAGCTATGTCAGGTCTGTGAATACGTTCTCTTCTATAAAAGGTTTTTTTTAAAGGGGCAAACGACCGGCGGAAACACCGAGGTGATATTTTTTTTTTAAATTCAATTGTATACAATCTATTTATAGATGGACAGCATCAAAACAACAAAAAATGTATTTTTAATCATTCAATCCTAAACTAAGAAATGCAGCTCTTTAATATCATTGAAAAAATACTTGAAAGAGCAGTTCTTTATTTCTTTGTACAACTCAAAAGGAACTGCTAACTTTGATGTTCATAAAACTGCGATATTGAATAAAGACGACTTGATATTTCTATTTGAGAAAGGCACAAGGTAATAGCAAAGGTTGAGGTCTTAATTTATTTATACTTTCGTTTGCAATTCCGCTTTTCATTTACTAACTTGAACTTTGAATAAATTTTTTCTTGAGTGAATAAATACTAGCAACGGAACCTCATTCTAGAGGTTTTACTTTATTTGCTTGAAGATACTAGAAACTTCTAATATCGTCTATTCACTTCTAGAGAAATGGAGGCTGTATAAATAATGAACAATTATTTACCAAGATCATTGTTTCATTGTTGTCATTAAAGATTAAAATGCCAAGATTAAAATTCTTTTAATTATTTTTTTTGTCTGTTGGCAGCATGATAGGCCACAGACAAAAAAAAATTAAAAGAATTTTAATCTTCGTCCATTCCAAGAGAAATCTTCTAATAAGGAAAATATGAGCAAAGGTCACATTTTATTTCTGTCCCTTTTAAGGGGATAGGTAACAGCATTTGTTAATAACAGATACTCGTAAACCTTTTCACATAAAAAAACAAATAAAAGCGCCCAAAGAAATCTTTATCAGCGACTAAAATGAAAACACATACCTATATCTTAAGTCATTATAGATGTCAACATTTTTAATGACTGTTTTTACCAACCATCCATTAAATTTAGGGTCTCTTAAATAACATTTAAAGGGCCCCTAGTAACATATCGTTGCTACCAATGTTTTGGTTTCTTAGTTTATAATTTTGCTTCAGATTTATAAAGACTTTTAACCAAAGACATATGAATACTTTAGTCTTTGTAAAAACGACCGTCAGAGTCACTAATGGCTACTTAAACAGTCGCTTAGTGATTTATTTAAGTTACAACAAAACATGAATATAAAATACGCAGCTTTTGTTTTATTTCCAGTTTCCGCAATCAGCAAAGCCAATGAGCGGAAACCTATTCGGAGCAATGGGGTGAAATAATTTGCTTGCGTCGCTTTCTTCGACTGTGTGGGCGTCATTGAGAACGACTGAATAGGCTTTTAATAACTATACCAATATCGAAATAATATCAGACTTCAGCTACATTGTATACTGGATTTTTTGCACTTATTTTTTTAAAATAGCTAAAACCACGGATAACTTTACTATTTCAATTCTTGTAACGCATTTACCTATAGGAAAATTTTGATATCCTTTTTGAATAGAACGAGAGGGATAGTAAAATTTTAGAAAAAGTATTATGATATTGGGGACTCACAGTAATATATAACTGACCTGTTTTTACCCGCGACTTCGTCCACGCATAATTAAAAAATAAACATAAACTATAGTAATAAACATAGTATACGATACTCGGTGATAATGTTGTTTACTATGGGAAAAGAATTTTTGAATCAGTCCAGTAGTTTTTTAATTTTATCCGGTACATAAAATACTAATATCCTGCCTTAAGATTTACTATAAAAGATATGTTGTAGTTTTGTTGTTGAGACATTTCCTACCGGATCTAAGACACTAATAAGATCCCTAGGGATTCTAATTAACGAATGAAACAAGGGTGAACAAACACAGTTCCTTACACAGGAGTACTTAATCAAAATAATTTTCTTGCTTGTAATTAATGCTGGTCGGTTATAAACGAATTAATTAGTCAGTTCTTTCGTAATTAATTAACTAGATGTAAGAGAGAGTTCAGGGCACGTTAGCGGTTTCTGTATAGAAGAGAGTGCACTGAGCATAAAATAAAAGTGTTTCAAATGAGGTTTTATATGTGTTTTAATTTAATTAACTGGTACAAGTAAAAGACAACTTTATTGTCGGGTCTAGAAAGAATGGTTTCAATTAATAGCACCTCCTAATATTTGTTAATTAAGCAATATGTTTCAAGTCTACCTAAAACCTGTATAAAATGTTTAAATATTATATTAATGTTAGCTTAGAGTTGTTTAAATATCCTCGAAATATATTTGTTTTTCGGCATTTAATATATTTAAATTTTAAACATTTGTAGTGCTTTTAGAAAGTTAATCTCACAGTCGAGTGATTTTAAATTTAATATAAACTGTAAAAGATATCCTTTCATCTAGTCTAGGGCGCTCTTTATCGTCTATTTTAGACACTTTTACGATGTTTCCGACCTTCGGGTTTTTTTCCTTTTTTTCTTTTAATATTTGTAACAGCTTTGTGAGAAAAAGTGTGTCATGAATATGTTTACGTTACTGACCTACTGACTTACTGAATTACTGAACTTTAATTTTGTCACAATATTTTCATACTGTGACTAAAATAAATTACGTATTTTCAATATTATAAACAAAAAGTGAATTGTCAGAGTACTAATTGGCTATGATAATATTGTTCTCGAATTCCATAAAATCGTTTGATTGGATTCTGATTTACTTAACAATTCTCAATAACTTTCAAAGCCGTGACCTATATTTCATAGTTTTGACAGAATTGGAGATGCAATAATGAACTCTGAGCTTTGTTGAAATGACGTAGTGCGTACTCCGTTATTTCAACAAAGCCATGGGATCTTTGTCCAAACCAAAAGTTAAAAATGGTAAAACTATATTGAATACAAGCTGTTGCACGCGACTGTGTCCCCGTAAAGTAACAAAAAATATAGCGATGTTACTAACTGATAATAAAATTTCTAATAGTGAAATAATTTTTGAAATCAACTCAGTAGTTTTAGAGTTATTTCAATACATAAAAAATGCAAATCTTTCCTCTTTAAAGTATAGAATAGTAATTTACAGAGTATTTTTTTAAATCAATGTTCTGTTTATATGCAGAAATGTTACTAATATTATAAATGCGAAAGTTTAGATGGACGGATGTTTGTTAGTGTTTGTAGCCTAAACGGCTGAACGGATTCCGATGAAAATTGGCACAGATGTAGAAGATATTCCGGAAAAACACATCGGCTACTTTCTTTTTTTTAATTCCACGCGAACCGAGTCGCGGGCGAAAGCTAGTTAGTATATAAATGTTTTTAGTATTCGTAAACATGTAGATGTTTATGAGTATGTCAGAGAAATTATGATTACTTTACCAAATGTCGTTGATAACGAATTTTCTTATGTTTTATTTATGTCATGAATTATGCCACTTTCTACTCGTGTTATGAATAATGCAATATCTCGAAATATAATAGAATTTCAAGTATTTGAAAAGTGTAATAAATTTCAATTAATTCGGCGATAGTTTTTAAAAAGATGTGCTTATTTTTGTGTGTTAAACAAAGGTCTATGAACCAGTGCTATGTGAAAGGTAAATACATACAGACACAATCTCTTCTTATCTTTTAAAGTACTATTTGCTTTAACAAATAGATATGTAGGATGCTTTTCTGTATATATTACTATCGTATTTTCTAAGCTGAAACGATTTGCTGAAAGTAAAAAAGCACTTATTAGTTTGAAAAAAATTATTCTAATCGAAGTTACGTAGTTGTAGGGAAGTTATACGTAAAGTTCAAGCGTTACTTACTTATTTAAGGGGTTTATTTTCCTCGTCACCCTCGTTTAAGCCACGGGGTATCGTTTCCTAGCAATTTGGCTTACTTACAAATTGTTGTAAGACAATGAAAAAACTGAAACGTAATTTCCTTTTCACTTTTTGTTTTACTTCCCTTATCCGATAAATGTCTTGATATAAAAAAGTTGGAATAGATTTCTATTGCAGAGAATATGAAGTGTGAATGTTAGTATTAGGTAGTTTCTGTGCTTGCCAAGTTACGTTAGCAGTTGGCAACATTACAAAAGGAAAACAACGTATCGTGTGATATATTCAATTTAATACTAGTACTACAATAATTCTATAAAAACTTGACCACTTATACCAGAGTAAAACAATTTAATTCCAAACTAAAACTTAAAACTAGTTTTAGAGTCTACGTCGTAGGCATCCGCTACGTCGTAGACAAACGCTACGGAATGCTTAGTAACTTAATATTGCGGGTCCCGTATGCGATGTAGGTTAAAAGGGTCAATTCAATATTCTCTATAAAACGCGGGATGAAAGCTTACGCGAAAGTTGGACCGTTTTCAAAGAAGACAAAACAAAATAAAACACTTTGGTATTTTGTATTGACAATAGATTCTTGTTTTGTTAAAAAGTATTGCCTACTTATTTAAATAATAATAATATAATTGAACGTATTAACCACATATTGTTTCATGTTAGTATAAATGAAATTGTAATAGTTAAATTGTTTTTTTACTAACATTATTTCTGTTCTATTCTGTTCCATATCATTAATCAGAAATTAAATCTATTAAAAGGTTAAGGGGGTACGATTTAGGAGATAGTCAAACAAGCAAGCGGGCCCTTGACTTCATAATAGTGAATATTGCTGCCTTTCCAGCCGGTTTTGCAGTTGTCTACCTACAATTTACAGAGAAGAGGATAAATCTACAGAGAAAGCACTTTCTTTCACTTTTCCCTCCACTGTCAAATATTCAAAACTACTGTATTCGCATGTAAACACGCACGATTAATCGTATTATATTCACAATGTTGTTTGG